GTTTTCCATGTCTTAGTATATGTCTAAGTTATCTGTTCTGCTGTAGGAGACAAAATTACTGAATAACTCAGAGTGATAAGAAGATTACCGCATGATGAGTTGTTGGTGGTATGATGTGTTGAATGAGCGATACCGCTCAGCGCATTAGTTACTGCTTGCGTTAGACATTAGGTACCACTATCCATTGCCATTTTGCGTTAAATAATTCTATTTGAAACGATTATCGTAAGATATCCCGTAAGATATCGTGAGATTTCTATGCCCAAATCTATTAACTATCCACTGACAACAGTAAGCTGCTGTTCAAACCGACTGAAGAGACTATTGACCGTGGCCAAACACGTTAGATTTCTATAAAGGCCAATCATGTAAAATAAATAGAATATTTATAAAAATACTAAATGTTAAAATACATGTAAGGATATAACATTACATTTGGACTATCGCAATTAAATTTTGTGTATACAAAAATGTTTAATAATTATAAGTCTGAGCATAGTTATTAATTAGTGTGGATTGAAAGTTCGATTGAAATAAATCATTTTAAGTTTACATAAGTTTAACATAAATATAAATTAAAATAAATTTAAGGCAAATAACGTAAGAACTAAATTCTAATTTGTGTTTACACATATTGGGTCTATAATAGGCAAACTAAAATGATAATGTCGTGTCAAAGATCCATATTAATCCACTTGAGCCCTCAATTATATGTATACCAACTATTGTAGTGTAATCTCTCATATTGTATTGTTAAATAATTGAAATCAAGCAGTGCCAACCATGTCATTTCTGACCATGTCAACATCTTAATTAGTTTAGTGTGAAAATTAATATCCTTTAATTGCATGAATCTTTAATATGTTTTCTTAATATTGTCCCAGATTGACTTGGACTTCACAATGCATGTTATGGTATTATGTTCGAAAACTAATATTAATATGACAGGACAAGTAATATATAATTTATATATTATTTATTTCTACAATATCCTTTCGGAGCGTATCATTAAAATACAAATTTGCAGAAATATTTTCATTTAGATCTCATAAATTTAACCAACTGAACTTACACACTTACTTACCAATTCAATTGAATCCTTCGTGGCACTGAAAATGTCCTTCGTGCAAACATTTTCTAGTGAAATTTTCTAGTGAAATTCAGAAATTTCATATTTACACTCATAAATACTAAAAATTCATATAGATGGCAAATATTTATGTGCGAGCTCAATGCTAATTGTTTTCAGGATTCCATTACATTTGTTAACAATTTTGTGCTTAAAATTTTGCATAAATTCTGTACATTTCACAAGGACATCAGGACCCCAGGACGAGTAGAGGTTGAAATGAGAGAAAGCTGACTGGGCATGGAGACGGAGGCTGGTGTGTACATCAAATGCCAGGCATTAAATTTAATGAAATTAAAATTTTGATTTTTGACTCCAATTTTACATTACATGCACATAAGCACGAAATTATGGACAAACAAAGGATAAATATTCTAAATTGTAAAATCAGGCATATTTCGGCATTCCGAGTTAATGACTTCTGTTGACAATATTCATGAGTGTAAAAACATGAAATTTATAGTGTAGCTGTTGTTTATTGTTGTTTGTTTTATTTGATAAAATGAGCTACATTCAGATACTTTTTATTAATGAAGTTGAGTTTATTAACAAAATGCGATATATTTTAGAATTTATAATGATTTCATTTAACAAACAATGCTTTTGATTATAATTGCCATAATCATTCGCTATAACGATTTAAATACACATTCATGATTATTATCATTAATGATTATTAACGTTCATTATTATTATCATGATTATTATTATTTTTGATGATTGTCAATTGATTTTGATGATAATTTGAACTGGGACGCATGCGAAATCCTTATTTGCCATTAAGTTTAGTACTCACGGCAGCGTGAATAGCAGAACTCTAATATCAATTACCAAAAATTTACTACTGCTCGAAGTAAGAAAAAAGCCATTACCACCGGTTAGATATCTTTAAGGGAATGGAATCAATGTTTACACCTGAATGCATCCGAAGTAGTTGTTTTTATGACTTCAATGATTATTGAAATTGAATGTGGGAATTTAATGTAGTTTGATAGTTTAAGTTGACAGTTAACCCAAAATAAATAAAAGAAATAATATTAAAAATAATTGAGTAAATAAGGTAAAAAAAGTCCAAAATAATACTCATTTAAAAAGGTTTCTAAATGGTTCACAGTTATAACAGAACAAAAAGATTTTAATTGAATTTTAGATAATCTTAAAGCATAAAAAAATTTAAGTCACAATTAACCTTATTGATGAGAAATAGATTAAAACGCAGCTTTAGATATATAAATATAATATAATTAATAATTAAACTATGTAGACTAGATGAATTCTACCAAACCATTTGCAAGGATGGTTTAGGCCAATATGTCAAATGCTTATCGGGCTTTTGTATTGGAGTATACAAAAAGTACTCATCATCATCATCATTTTGGCATTATAGTCCCGGATGGACCAATTCCTCCTCTACAATACGCCTCCATTCTTTTCTGCATTTCGCTTTCTTTCTATGTTGTGTTATTCTCAACGTTCATATGTTGTTTTCTACATCTTGTAGCCGTCTTCGTCGCCGTCGTCCTGTTTTTCTACTCCCCTCTGGCTTTGTCTTGAAAATTTTCTTAGTCATTTTTTCGTTACTCATTCGTAAGACGTGTCCATACTAGCTCAATCTTTGAGCTTTTATGTGTCGTGGTTTAGTTCGGCCTTCGTTCAAGACATTCAATTTGTCGTTATACCGTATACGATATGTGTCGTCTTCTAAGCACACCGGGCCAAATATTTTCCTAAGTATTTTTCTTTCGAATCTCAGTAGCAGGTTGTTGTCGCTGGATTTAAGGACCAGTGACAGTTTTATACATGCGCAACTTTTCTTCCTTTGATAGTAACGCTGATTTCATAAGCTTGATATGGGCAAAATATGCTCTGTTAGTTGTTTGAATAAGATCTTGCATTGCGTGAATTGCATCTTTAATTGTGCTTTACTTGTGTATTACCATTGTTTAAAGTAGTACTAGATATGTATTGTAGTTGTAATATTAAAAGAATAATAAAAAAAAATAAAAACAAAAAATAAAAAAAAATTAAAAAAAGAGGAAAAAGGTACTGTAGCGGATTAAGTTTTAGATAGTAAAATTTTAAAAAGTTAATCGCCATTGTGTTTAATTTACAACAAGCATCTACTGAGCAATGACAAATGTGATAAGAAGTACTCCCACACCTACTGGGCAATGACAAAGGTGATACGAAGTACTCCCAGAACTGCGAAAAGAGTCATTAAAGCTGAGAGTCAATCATCAAACAAGGATTTCTAGCCGATAGAGATCCATCAGTATGCACACTATTAGACTTATATGCTTATGAGGCATCTCACAGCATTTGCTTCGTAGTTTCTTATATAAAGTAGTTATACTTTTTTATTATATTACATACTTATATGCCATGATCATTCTCAATAATGAATTTTATATACATAACTATATAACTACATAACTAGCTCAAAAGGTGTGAGTACAAATATCACATTTTCTTCTAATGAAAGACTTTCTAAACGCCGGCTATCTCTTAATTTAATGTGAGCAATATATTTGCTGTCGAAATCAGGAACTCAACGAGGAAATCTTGTTGAGGACCTGAAATGAACAGTAATCATATTTATAACCCTTCCACTCTGAAGTTACGTCAAATTTAAGAGTAGAGATAACACAATGAACTTGCTTATGCCATTAAGATGCTTTATGTCAAGTAGTAAGTAATAAGTCTAATGAAATGAATGAAGTAGTGCTCAAAATACTATTAATATAGAGTTCAGCTCTGCGCTGAACTGTGTTTAATACCATACAGTTAGAAAACTTACTTTAGGCCGACTACATTATTTTTAACATTTAGTTAATAAATACCAACAAAGAAAAAAATTTTCTTTGATGAGAGATAATAAAAGTGCTTTTCTGATGGACTTATGTGCTTTAAAGCACAAATAATATTTTTGCAATGAAAACTATATATATTGTCACCTTTTTTTAATTAAAACAGTTGATTTATCTTAAAGTTTAATGTTGTTGCAAGTCTTGGATATGGTGTTTATATGACAAAAACTGTCCGTCATGAAATATAATATAGTAGATATCGGTTCGATTCCGTGTACAACGTATATTTAAAAAAATATATGTGGGTACTATTTAAACTAACTTAAAGCAAAGGTGTATGAATATAAACGAAGTATTAAAATAATAGTGGTGTTTAAGCCAATACATCAATAGCTTCATTTTGTATTTACTTAAGATCTAACATGAACTATAGAACTGCTTTGATATGTGTTGATATGTTATTTCAAAAAATATACTAAAACAAATTAAGTTCTGGAAATGCTACAAGATAATAGTTGAGAAATTAATGTCAGAAATAAGCGTGCTTACCTTGGCAAGTTCGTCTGCCCTGCAGTTATCTGATTTTTCCCTTTCTCCAGATGTACATTCGCAATATTTAGGTTGAACACTGACACACATAGCTAGGTTATTGAGAGAAACTCGGTATTCTCATACTATTGTAGCTGTTGCTTTTACTAGAGATTTAATAGCAGCTTGGTTGTCTGAGAAGAATGCAATATTTATATCGGGGATCTATTGCACAAAACCCAATCTAATTGCAATATTAGAAATTTATTTTGAAACAATAATTTGCGTTTTCATTCGTTGACCAATTAGCATATTCCATGATTAATTTATAATATTCAATCAAGTGATATTATTTCTTATATGTGATTATAGGTAAATAATTTAGAAAGTTATAGAAGTAAAAACAACTGATAAAATTGAGATGGAGTGTGTTATCACTCTTATAAAACATTTAAAATGATTATTATTTGAAAAAGTTATTAAATTATTTTAATTTATATCATTATGCTGATGTAATAAATTTTAAAACTCTTCTTAATTTTTAATGCAAAATTTATTAAAATTAGATACAAGTTACAATTTTTAATACATTTTTTAATGTTAAAAATTTTGCATTCAATACTGAACTTAAGCAGTGAGACTGGAATCAAATTCTTTGATGACATATGTCAGCTTTTTGATAAGCATATCAATATCCTTATCCGTATTCTGGTGATAAAATACAGCACGTGCGTATTTCCAATTGCGGGAACTCATCTGCACAACAATACCCACTTTTCCAGCCTCATCTGAGGTGACACCTTGCTCCAATTCCTCAGGTTTTATCTCCTTCAAACGTGAACAAAATTCATTTGAGGATAATTTCGGATTCAATATATCAATTAGAAGAATGTTGGTCTGTACATTTGGTAGATCAACGGTGAAGTTTGGACTTTTCAAATTGTGCACAGCTAAATAAGATGAAAAAGAAAATATTAGTTTTGAAAAATAATAATATAAAATTAAAATAAATGCATTTAAGAGCAGCGAAAATTGTTAAAGAAAATGCAATAAATTTTCTCGGTGCATAAAATGTTTTACTGCATCTAAAATGCACGCTGTACACTTTCCCACTAAATAGCGTAATGGCATCTAACAATTTTTGTAGTCACTCCTTAAAATGCAACATTTGTTGCAACTACAATTAGGTGCAGCCATTTATGTTCAGATGAGGGCTCATATCTCATGCGATGCATGAAGGCATAAGAATTGCAGTCAACAATTCACAGAAAGTCATTTCTTTCAATTGCCTGCCATTTGGAGCTTTGTTGTTGCTCATAAATATTCAAGTTGACGAAGTCGTTTACCTACCTTCAGCTACACGTTTTGTCCTTTGATGATCACCACTCAAGCGTGGCACAACTGTCTCAAGTCCCACTAAACCAGCGGCAGCCAAAATACCAGCTTGACGCATGCCACCGCCCAAAGCCTTGCGCAAACGGTGTGCTCTATAGGAAGTGAGGAAAAAAATTTTAAAAGTAAAAATACAAAACAAAAACAAAAAAAATTAGAAACGAAAAAAGAAAATGGAAAACTTTTATTTATGGAAAAACTGAGAAAAGTTAGCGGTGTAAGGTGTAAGGAAACCCGCACTGCAGTCTAAAGTTTCAATTGTTTAACAGACTTTTTCGTTCTGTTGACTTGTATTATTTTAATACATTTTAATTCAAAGCAATAAAAATATGGTAAGTGATTATAATTCAAGGGCACTCACTTTGCAATAAAAGCTTTTGAGCCCATTAACACTGAACCCACTGGTGCTGAAAGTCCTTTACTCAAGCAGTAGCAAACGGAATCAAAATCACGCGTTATACGCGCCACTGGTATTTTCAGTGCCGCTGCTGCATTGAAGATACGTGCTCCATCCATGTGCAATGCTATCGGACTGTGAGTTGCAGCAGGATCTTTGACAACTTTCACTAGCTCATTTAGCCACTCAAGTGGCAGTACTTTGCCTCCGCACATGTTATGTGTGTTCTCGACTGATACCAAGCAAGTGATGGGCTCATGGCAATCGTCATAACGAATCTTGTTTCGCAATTCACTGAGACTGAATGTACCATCGACTTCATTTTTAATTGTGGCTAATTGAACTCCTCCAATTTGTGCTGCTCCACCTGTAAAGTGAAGGATTCATAAGTTGAATATATATAAGCTGATGAGCGATTTCAGTTTTATGCAATGAATTGCTTGCGCTTTTGTGCAGGTGTAAGCGCAAATATGAATTAGGGTTCTTCATAAGTTTTCAGTTAAGATATAATGGAAATAAAATAAATTGCGTTTTAAGGTCATTTTTAAGACCATCTAAGATCAAATAGTTTCCTTTTTTTCAATTAGATATAAAAAAAAATAAAATTGGATATTAAATAAAGTATTTAAGTCTCTGTAGGATATACACAGACAACTTTATGAACAGAGGAAAATAACCTAAGACAGCTGGAGTGAGAG